AAATGTCAGACTTCCTGCTCCTCTGATGCTGCTTGGCCTGCTGTGTTCATCCAGCTCTCCACCTTGTTATCTCAGATTCTCCAGCATCTGCAGTTCCTACTATCTCTAAGGCAAATAGTGTGTTTGCTTTCATTGCAAGAAGATTTGAGTTCAGTAGAGATGTCTTCCTGCAGTTATGCAGGGTCTTGGGGTGAGTATTGTGTGCAGTTTCGGTCTCTCTACCTAACAAAAGATAAATTTGCCAGGCAGGGAGTGCAGTGGAGGTTCACTTGGCAGATACCTTGGATGGCAGGACTGTCTTATGAGGAAAGATTAATTTGACTGAGCTTGTGTTCACTAGAGTTTAGAAGGATGTGAGGGGATCTGATTGAAATATATACTAACAGGGCTGGATTGACAAGATGCAGGCATCCAGGACTGTGAGTCACTGTCTTGGGATACAGAGTAGACCATTTGGGACTACCTCAAAAGCTAGAAAACTTCTGGAATTCTGTACCACAGAAGGCCAAGTCACTAAATATATTCAAGAAAGAGATTGATAAAGATTTAGATTTTAAAGGTGTCAAGGGGTGTGGAAAGGAAGTGGGGACGTGGCATCATGATAGAAGATCAGCCTGGATCATATTGAGTGGTGAATCAGGCTCGAAGGGCGAAATGACCTGCTGCTTCTAGTTTCTGTGTTTCTATAAATACAATCTGCTGTTGATATTGAAGTCCATGAGCTTCTAGCACCATTTTACAGATGAGAGAAAATAATGTTTCTGCTCCAGTTGGGTTATTTGGAGAGCCAAGCAGGAAGGCTTTGCTTTGCCTTAGATGTGCACTATTATTGGAAGTGGAAACAGTTACGTGGATAGTGTACTGTTAACAGTAAGTGTGTTCAGACCTGCAGCTTGTAACTTGTTGCTTCTTTGAAAATAACCAGCAGATCAGTTGGCCTCCAGATCCAGGCTACAACAATTATTGGGAGATTACAGCAAAATCTGTGCAGTTCTGTCCTCTACTGATCTGAAGATGCAATCTTGTCAACCTTACCACCACTTTTGTTTTGTAATTCCTTGTTTATAATTGCTAGTTAGTGTGTAGTTTCTCTAGAATTTCTCATAGGTAAATATTGCCAAGTGGAATATAACTAGTGTTTTGAGATGCACCAGGGACACTATCTGGTATACAGCAGATATATTTAGCTATTTTGCTGGTAGTTTTGAAATTTTTGAGCATTTTTCTTTGCCGTGTCACCCGTATGGATATGCTGTCTGTTGTATCTCTGCAGCGGGCCCACTCCCTGGGTTTAAGGCGGTGATGGCAAGTAATGTTCCGTTAGGAGGAGGGTTGTCCAGTTCAGCATCTTTGGAAGTTGCTATGTACACCTTCCTACAGCAGATTTGTCCAGGTGAGTGAAATGAGATGCTTTATAATTGGAAAACTATCAATCTCTGCTTTGCCTCTTCTGCTCCCAAAAAGATTTAATGATGGAAGTCTCCTTCATCTCCAGTCTAGTTGTTGAGTTTACATATTGGAGGTATTCAAATGGCCAAGCGAGGTAACTGCTGTGTGAGGTGTTCCTACTGTTTGGCTGGGCCATTATAGCAATCAGGGCAAGTACACTGACTGCTATAAAGTCTTGGCTTGAATCCTTTTACGAACCTTTTATGAAAGCTCATGGACCTTTATAGAGATATTTGCATCGCAAAAGTGCCAGGCACTGACCAGGTCCAACAAGATAGAATCTAGTCATCACCCCTTGATGCTCAATGGCATTACCATCAGTGAGTCCCCTACTGTCAACATCCTGGGGGTAACCATTAACCAGATACTGAACTGGACTAGCCATATAAAAACTGTGTTTACAAAAGCAGGTTAGAGGCTTGTAATCCTGCAGTGAGTAACTCCCTTCCCATCTCCCAGTGTTTTTTCACAAGGCATTAGTTAGGAGTGAGATGGAGTACTCTCCACTTGCCTGGATAGGTGCAGCTCCAATAACACTCAAGAAGCGCAACCCTATGTAGGATAAGCAGTCTGCCTGATTTGCACCCCATCTACCTCCTTCAACATTCACTTGCTTCTTCACCACTGACGCACAATAGAACAGTGTGTACGTTCTGCAAGATACATAGCAGTAACTCACCAAGCCTCCTTTGACACCATCTTCCAACTGTGCAACCCCAACCATGTAGAAAGATAGCATCAGCATATGTATGCATGGGAACACCACACCCTGAAAATTCCCCTTTAAGCCACACATTATCCTGACTTTCTCACCATAACTTCACTGCAGCTGAGTCAAACTCGTAGAACTACCTGTGTAGCAACACTCAGTATACCTACACTACATGGCCTAGTTGTATTATTGCTGGACTGTCAATCCAGAAACCCAGATGATGATCTGAGGACCTGGGTTCAAATCCTGCCCTGGTGGATGATGAAATTTGGATTCAATTACATGTCTGGAGTTAAGAGTCTAATGATGATCATGAATCCATTGTGGATTGTCAGGAAAAATCCATCATTAATGTCCTTTAAGGAAGGAAACTGCCATCCTTACCTGGTCTGACCTACATGTCACTCTGGATCCACAGCAATGTGGTTGACTCTTAACTGCCCTTTGGGCAATTCGTCAATTAGATGGGCAATAAATACTGGCCTAGGCGGTGGTGTTATTGTACTGGACTGGCAGGTCAGAGTCTATGAATTAAAATACAGTTGGCACAAGTTAAATACAATTCATTAAATCTGCTGGCACCAGGAAAAAGTTACCCATAAATGCTGCTGCTGGATCGTCTTAAAAATCCCACTGATTTACTAATGTCCTTTGGTGAAGGGACCTTCTTCCTACACTTAACACACTTGATTCCACTCCAACAAGTGGAATGGACCTTGCCAACATCATCAAAATTCCAACTGATTAATTAAAGAGGCACTTAAACTTTGGAATTGGCTTTGGAGAACAGGCCCAATGAGTGTGGCACACTATTTAGGATGGGAGAGAAAGAGCGTTGTGGATTATTGAGTGACACACATCTTGGGAGTAGGAACCATGCCTCTACATCACAGATGAGGCATGAGGTGGTGGTAATAGTGCAAATGAGCCCTGACTATGTTTAGTTTTCTGATCATCAGATGATGGAGATTTAATGGAAAAGGCTCTGGCCTGTCAGAAAGCTGAGCATACGTTTGCCTCCATGCCCTGTGGAATCATGGATCAGTTCATCTCGGTGATGGGGCAAAAGGATCATGCCTTACTCATTGATTGCAGGTGAGCTAAGGAAGGCATACACATCTGTTGCGTGTGATCTGTGATCTCATGATATTCTGTGTGGCTCTTGTTTTGGTCATGGATCAGATGACTACTGCCATTCGAGTCAGATGATTATGGGTTCAAGTCCATTGCTAGAATTCTTGCACAAAATGTGGGCTGACACCCCAGTGTAGTATTGAAGGAATTCTGAGCTGACTGATTTCATAGAGTCATAGTGGTCTACAGCATAGAAAAAGATGCTTTGGCCCATTGAGTCTGCGCTGGTCAAAAACAAGCACCTCACTATTCTCATCCTATTTTCCAGCACTTGGACCACACTTTGGCATCACAAGGTGCATATCTAAATACTTCTTAAATGTTTTGAGGGTTTCTGCCTCTACCACCCTTACAGGCAATGAGTTCCAGATTCCAACCACCCTCTGGATGAAAAGGTTTTTTCCCTCACATCTCTAAACCTCTTGCCACTTACCTTCAGTCTATGCCCCTTGTCATTGATCCCACCTTCAAGGGGGAAAGTTGTCTGCCCTCAGCCTCTGGTTCAAGGGAAACAACCTCAGTCTATCTTCATAACTAAAATTCTCCAGCCCAAGCAACATACTGGTAAATCTCTGCAACCTCTTCAGAGCAATGTGGATTCCAGGACTGCACACAATACTCTAGCTGTGGCCTAACCAACAAATAATAGTTCCAGCATAACCTGCCTGCTATTAAACTCTATGCCTTGGTTAATAAAGGCTAGTATCCAACCATATGCCTTCGTAACCAATCTACCTGTACCGTTACCATAAGGGCATGGTTGACATGCACACTGAGGTTCCTGTGATCCTCAGTTCTTCCTACTGTTCCTCATGTATTCCCTTGCCTTGTTTGTCCTCCCAAGGGTATCACCTCCTGATTGAATTCCATCTGCGATTGATCAGCCCATCCATATCCTCCTGTCGTCTAAGGCTATCCTCTCACTATTTACCAGCTCACCAATTTTTGTATCGTCTGTGAACCTACTGATAAGTCCTCCTACTTTAAAGTTTAAATATTTATATTACAAACAGCAAGGGCCTCAACACTGATCCTTACAGAGCCTCTCAAATGTTAATGCTGATCCCTCTCTCTACACCTTCTCTTTGGCTGTAACACTGTACTCTGCTACTTGATGCACTTTGCATGGTACAATCTGCCTGTGGAGCAAGCAAAACACTTTTCACTGTATCTTGGTACATATGACAACAATAAATCAAATCAAATCAAACCCCACTGGACATAGACTTCCAGTCACAAAAACTACCCCAAGCATCACCTCTGCTTCCTGACACTCTCAATTCTGATCCACTTAGCCAAATTTCCTTGGATCCCTTAGGCTGTTACTTTTGCTATCAGTCTCCCATGTGAGATCTCATCAAAAGCTTTGCTGAAGTCCAAATTATCCATGTTAAATACATTTCCCTCATCTACACACCAGTTCATCTCTTCGAGAAATTTAAACAAGTTGGTCAGACATGACCTCCCGTTAACAAAACCATTGCTGACTGTTCTTGATTAATTCCTGCCTCTCCATGTGCAGACTAATTCTGTCCCTCAGAATTGCTTCCGTGGAGATTAGACTGACTGGCCTCTAGTTTCCTGGTTTATCCCTTCCTCCCTCTTGAATAATGGTACCACATTGGCTGCCCTCCAGTCCTCTGGCACCTCTCCTTTGGCCAGAAAAGAATTGAAATTTATTGCCAGCAGTCCTATTTCCTCCCTTGCCTCACTCAGCAGCCTGGGATACATTTCAACCAGCCCTGGAAATTTATCTACTTTAAAGCGTGCCAGAAACTCAGAACCTCCTCTCTATCTATGCTAATTTCTTTAATTGTATCACAGACCTTCTTTCTGGTTTCTAACCACATCATCTCTCTCATTAGTGAACATCAACATAAAGTATTCGTATAGGATCTGACCTACATCCTCTGGCTGTACGCACAAATTACCACTGTGTACCTTAATGGGCCCTACTCTTTCCCTAGTTATCCTTTTATCCTTAATGTACTTGTAAAATATCTTAGGATTTTCCATTGTTTTATCTGCCATTACTCGATGGGCTGAATGGCCTAATTCTCTTCCTATATCTTATGGCCTTTCATATCCCTTTTGGTCTCCCTCCCTAGTGCATTCTGTACTGCTCTAGGGCTTTTGCTGTTCTGAGTCCTTAGTATCTGCTGTGAGCCTCCCTTTTTCTCTTTATCCAATCTGTATATCCCTCAATATCCAGGGTTCCCTGATTTGTTGGTCCCACCCTTTCTCTTTACTGAAACATGATGGCCCTGTACTCTCCCTGCTTCCTCCTTGAATTACATCCACTGCTCTGAATGGATTTACCTAGAAGTATCTGCTGCCAGTCCATACTGGCCAAATTATATCTGATCTTATTAAAATTGGCCTCTCCACAGTTTAGATCTTAGATTTCATGCCCATCTTGCCCTTTTCTATAACTATCTTGAATCTAACTGAGTTGTTTTTGCAGACAGCAATCACATTGATACTCCCTCATTGATACTTCATTCCCTAAAATTAAGGATTGCCCCCTCCCTGTAGGGTCTTCTACATACAGGCTTTAAAAGCTCTCCATGGTACATTTTAAGAATTCTGCTCCCTCTAAACTGTAGTGATTGTAACGAGGTCAGCCAGGTGGACTTCATACAATATGAGTTCCCTTATTGGGGCTGTTAATCTGGTCCACTCAGGGAGCCCTGGCTGACAGATTAAAACAAGGGTGTCAGACATCCTGTTCATTCTGAGAGCTGGCTCTGAGGGAGCTGGATCAGGGTCAAGGACTCTCCACGTATAAATAAAGGGTGACTTGGTGACAGGATACCAGCCTCTGTGGAGTTATATCATAAACCTTTCACACTATGACGACTTCTGTTAATGTTGGGTGAGTTGAAATCCCCCTATAATCACTACCCTTTTACTTTTACACTGAAATTTGCTTACATATTTACTCTTCTATTTCTCTCTGACTGTTAGGGGCCTGTAGTACACTCCCAACAATGTGGTTGTTCCTTCTAGATTTTTAAGTTCTACTCATATGGATTCATTTGAGGAGCCTACTAAGATATCATCCCTCCTTACTGCTGTAACTGATTCTCTGATCAATACTGTGATGCCCCCTTACCTTTTATCTCCGTCCCTATCTTGCCTGAAGGCCCTATATACTAGAATATTGAGTTGCCAATCCTATCCCACTCTCAATCACGTTTCAGTGACAGCAATGACAACACACTCCCAAGTTTTCACTTGTGCCCTCTACTCATCTGCCTTGTTCGTTAGACCGGCTGCAATAAAATAAATACCATCCAATCTTGCCAAACTTCCTTTAACCTTAAGTGGCCTATAATTTTTGTGCCTTCCTGACTCAATTACTGTTTCTTCTCATTTTGGCTGTGCATCTCCCCCTGCTCAGGATCCCACGCCCCCTGCCAAGTTAGTTGAAACCCTCCTCAATAGCATGAGCAAACCTTCCTGCAAGAATGTTGGTCCCCTTCTGGTTCAGATGCAATCCATCCACCTCATATTGGTCTCACTACCCCTATTGTCCCAGAAATCTAAAGACCTTTCTCCTGCATCATCTCTCCTGCCACGCATTCACCTGGACTAATCTCTTACTTTTATACTCAGTTGGACATGGCGCTGCAAGAGATTACAACTTTTTTAAATCTACTTCCTAGTTCCCTACATTATGTTTCAAGGACTTTGTCCCTTTCTCTTGATACCGTTATGATATCTGTCTGTTGCTCTGTCTCATCAGAATACCCTGCAGCTATTCAGTGACATCCTTGACACTGCATTAGAGAGGCACCATACAGCCTGAAGTCTTCCTTGCGGTCACAGAAATGCCCGTCTGTTCCTTACGATTGAATACCCTATCATTATAACCCTACCTTTTGTCTTCCTCCTCTTGTGCAGCAGACTGACCCATGGTGCCGTGAAGTTGCTTTCACCTGCACAGTCACCTCCCCAGTAGTGTCCAAAACAGTGTGTCAGTTACTCTGCCTGATGGTTGCCCATGCCCTTTCTGCCTGTTCGATCTTCACTTGCAATGTGACCACCTCACTGAAGTGACTTGATCAACATCACAAATGCTGCACAGCAAATTTACTGCAGTTCCAGCTCTGAAATGTACTTTGCCAGTAGCTGCAGCTGGACACACTTCCTGCATATGTGGCCACCACGGACAACTGAAGCTTCCATGATTTGCCACATATTACAGGAGGAGCATATCACAGGTGTGATCTCCATTGCCATGACTTCCCTTAAGCCCCTTAGTTACTCCCTTTTTTAAAACTAAACTTATGTTTATATAAGAATATGTCAGTTAAATCCACAAATAATCACTAGTTTAAAAAATCTACGTCATACTAGTTGACGACAGTTTGTAGGCAGTCCCCAGTAGTAGCCTCCTCAGCCAATGAAATCGGTGATTTCTTGTGGTGTCTCTCTAATTGATTTGAACTTGGAGCGGGAAATTTCAGAGACACTTTATTCGCTGTCACTCTCCCAAACTCCTCTGCTGTGGTCCCAGTTGCACATGCTGGTCTCAAGGAAAGACTGAAATCCTACTCACTGGCCTATATTTATACGCTGCTGATCTCCCAAACTCTTCTGCTCCAGTCCTGCTTGCTCACTGGTCAGAAGGATTGCAAACCATTGTTCTTAGTCCCAGATGAGACATTCAACTACTTGCTGTCTCAGATGAATGTGAACAATCTTACGCCACTATTCTGAAGAGCTGGGCAATTCTCCTGATGGTTCAAGATGGCTCCTGGGTGGTCAGTTTCCTAGAAAGGTTCTTATTTGTCCTTTGCTGTCTGCTGCCATTTTTCCCATTTTTCCCCCAGGCTTCTGTCTTCCACTGTTTAGACTCTTTTGGCTGTGTTAATAGGTGCATTTTAGCCCTAACGAAGTTAACAAAATTATTACAATGCAGAAGTTGGCCTTTTGGCCCATCATGCCAGCACTGGTTCCCTTTCCTTAGTGCCAGTCTCCTGCCTTATCCCCATAGCCCTCTGCACTATTTATATCCAAATAATCATCCAGTGCTCTTTTGAATGCTTCAGTTGAACCCGTCTCTGTCACATATCCAGGCAGTGCATTCCATACCCTAACTATTCACTTTATTCTCACATTAGTCTTGCTTTTTTTGCACTTTAAATCTATGCACACTCATTCTTTTTTTCTTTTGAGAGTGGGAGCAGCTTCTCTTTATCTACTCTCTAGCCTGCTTATGATTTTGAAAATCTGTGTCAAATCTCCTCTCAGCTTTCTTCTCTCTAAGGAGAACAGTCTCAACTACAGACAGGCCCCAGGTTACAAATGGGTTCCATTCTTCAGTATGTTCATAAGTCGATGTGTACGCAAATCAAAGCTATGATACAAAATAGCTCTTCATAAGTGCAAGAAAACATTCATACATCAGTCATTTAAAATAAATACTAATGTGAAATCTCGTTCATAAGTATGAGTGTTCATAAATTGGGGACTGCCTATAGTTCAATCTGTTCTCATAACTGAAGTTTTTCATTCCTGGAACTATTCTTGTAAATTTCTTCTGCAGTTTCTCCAGTGCACTTGCATCTTCCTGAAATGTGGTGCCCACAACTGTATGCAATACTGCAGCTGAGGTCTAACAAGTATCTTATATAAACTCAACATCACCTCCTTGCTCTTTTACTCTATGCCCCTATTAATAAAGTCGAGAACTGTACGCTTTAGTAACTTCTCTTTCCACCTCTCCTGCCATCTTCAATGATCTGTGCATACGTACACTCAGGCCCCTCCACCCCTGCACCCCCTAAACTTCACGTTATGATTGTCAGTTTACTCTCTGATTTCATCAGTGGGTGCAACAACTTTTCTTAAATTTAACTTCCCAATTGCTGGACTTCTCTGGACATCAAGATTACTCTATCTCTGTTGGTTAACTTTTAAATTAATTTTGATCTGATTTTGGATGTTCTCAGAGAGTCTCTTCCCTGTTCTCTCCTCCCCCCATTTTATCCCACTCTGAATTTGACTCTAGATTCAATCCTGTTTTTCTTTTCTATTTCCAGATATATATAAAATAGCTTTGTAACCTTGGGTATTTAATGACAAATTCCTGTGTTCATTTACCTGCACTTCTAGGCTGTCACACAACTGTACTTTGTTCTAACTTATTTTTGCTAGACTCCTCTCTCCTTTTGTTCTCCTACTGTAAAGACTGATGCAAAGTATTTATTCAACTCCTTGGCCATTTCCTGGTTCCCCGTTGTTATTTTCCCAGTCTTGTTCTGTAAGAGGCCTTTCTTAACTTTAGCGTCTCTCTTCCTTTTTATGCATTTAAAGACTAGAGCATTGCTTTGGTAATATGGCTCTAATAACCAAACCATGGCTTGGGTTTGAAGACATATTTCACCTGGTTCCAGCCCTCTTGCTGCTTATTCAAAGCCTCATGCTGTATTGCCCATCCAGCTGCTTTAAACATTTCATTGTCATTATATCTTTACATGCAAAATGCTTAAAGGGATAGACTGGGTAGATGCAGGTATGATATTTCCCCTGTGAGTCTAGAATAGTGTGCATTATGTAAAAGTAACAGGCATGCCAATTGTGTCCAAGATGAAAAGTTTTTTTTGGAGGTTTGTGAACCTTTGGAATTCTCTATCACAGAGGGCTGTGGAGACTCAACCATTGAGTGTGTTTAAGGTAGAGACTGATCGTTTTCTGATCACCAGTAGCATACAGGGTTGTGGGAATGGGTTGAATAAATGACACTGAAATGTTTGATCAGACATGATTGTATTGAATGGCAGGTAGGCTTGACGGGCTGAATGGACTATTCACGTTTCTATGTTCCTGTTCTTCTTCTGCCTCTGATCCAAGGTGCTTCGCGGTAGTATTATGAAATGGCACTGATACACACAAGGTGATATCAGGTCAGATGACCAAAAACTTAGTCAGAGAGAGTGTTCTAGGGTGTATATAGTTTTTAGGATGACATTCCAGAGGTGAAGGCTTGATTGCCACTCCTGGAGTATTTAAAATCAGGGATGTTCAAGAACTGGAGGAGCTTGGATGGTTGTAGGGCTGCATATGATTACAGAAGCAGGGAGGAGAGAGGACAGCAGGGAGATTTGAAAGCAAGGATGAGATTTCTAAAATTGAGTCATTGCTTAACCAGAATTCAGTGCTAGTCTGCAAGCATGAGTGAAAAGTGAATGGGATGAGGTGTGATTTAAGATGTGGCAGCAGAGTTTTGGATGATCTGAAGGTTAAAGAGGGTCAAAAGTGGGAGGCTAGCCGGGATTGAACTAGTGGAACCCAGAGGAAATCAATATGTGGGTGAGGATTTCAGGATAACATGAGCTGAGGCGAGGGTGCAATTGGGTAATGTGCAAGTGGGTGAAAGGAAAGATGAGAAGTGGCGCTTGCAGGTGAGCTGATCGTCTCGATCTTCAGGAAGAAAAAGTGGTATTGGATAGAAATTTCACTCAACTGAGAATCAAGCAGTGAGGATCAAAATCATTTTCAAGTCATGCATCTAAGTAAATTAGGGAATGCTGGGGGCTTGGTGCTGTGTTCAGAGGAGGTGATTTCTCAGCTTATTTATTGCACTCACTTATTTCCTCCCTGCATCTGATCTTTGGTTCCGTAAATCTCCATCCCCTAGTCCCATGGCAGTGCATGTGTTCTCCCTGCAGTTTGTAGTGATCTCCAGTGGCATATGAACAATACAACAGAACAGGGGGTCTTGGGTTTTTGTGCACAAATCACCAAATGTTAACATGCAGGTAAAGCAAGCAGTTATTACAAAAGATTGGAGGATAAGAGTAAAGAAGTCTTATTGCACTTGTATAGTGAGAATATGCCTAGAAGTAGTAGGTTTTTGGTTCTTTTTTCTGAAGGAAGGCTATACCTGTCTTAGAGTATGATGAAGGTTTACCAGACTGATTCCGGGGCTGATGGGACTGTTGTGTGAGGAGGCTAGATCTATAGTTCCTGCAGTTAAGCGGAAGAAGTGCTGTCACTGAAGATACAAAATTCTTAAGGTGCCTGACAGAATAAACACTGGATGTTTCCACTGGCTAATGTTTAGAACTAGTTGTCACAGATTCCAAATAAGGGGTCTGTAATTTAGTTCTGTGATGAGAAATTCCTTCATTTGAAAGGTTATGAATGTGATTTTTTTTTACTTCAGAGAAGTCAGGACACTCCATCATTGAGAATATTGAAAACTGAAAGAAATTAGATTTTTAGATACTAAGTGAATTGAGATGAATGGAGATAGGCCTGATGATGTCATCAAGATAGAAGGTCAGAGGACATCCAGACCCATTGTATCTTTGTGGATAAAGCAGCATTATCTACTTCCTCATCATATCTCTGACTTCAGTCTGCCTGTCTGTGGTTCAGCGTAACCTTAATTAGAGGGCATAAATGATTCAGTTAAACTAAATTACACCCACACCTAAATTATTGTTCTAATCTTGTTTATGTCTAATCCATGTGGTATTTGTCCTCAGAGAGTTAGGTAAGGAAATAAAAAAGGAGCTTTAATCTATATCTAATCTGTTGTACCTGCCCTGGGAGTACTTGATGAAAGAACTGAATAATCTGGATGTCTCAAAAATAACATGACCCAGCTCAAAAAAACTACAAAATTCAGAAAAAGGCCAAGGACAAGCTAGTGAGTTTTTCTCAGACACTGATGGGAACCTTTATGGTGTGAGGTTAATTGTTTTCATATTTTGTGACTGTTCTTTTGGATCTGCATTCGTGGCTTCCCTCAAAGTGAAGCAGCCAAATTCATAGGGCTTGAGATATTTAAACTCGTACTGTTCCAACCTCAGGTCTTTGGAAGTTACCCCTGTGCCCCTCAATGACCCCAATCTGGTGGTTCTGATCACAAACTCCAATGTACGACACACTCTGACAGGAAGTGAGTACCCAACCCGACGCATGCAGTGCATGGAAGCTGCAAAGGTACTTGGAAAAGAGAGTCTCCGAGATGTTTCCATGGCTGACCTGAAAGGTGTGTACCAGCTTGGTTTTTACATATTGTCTTTAAATGGATAAGGTGGGTAGGGCCAGAGAGAAAGGGCACATTGGTAATTAGCAAATAAGGAGTACTGGGGAAGATTGGCTTAAGAAGCATGTAAGGGATGGATTCCATTGGTGGGAAAATCATGGTGCAGAGTCAAGGTAGTGACATTACCTGCCATCATGAGGACAGTAAGTGACTCATATGGTACATAGTGGATTTACACTTCAACTTAGCTAGTGATTTCTTTCCTTTGGACGTATAGTTGGTACTTACTCGGTTGTAAGGCACTTTGGATATCCTGAGGTTGTGAAAGGCACTGTATAAATACATGCTTTTCTTGGATCTGCTCTTGGGCTCATTGGAGTAATTATATGACATTGGCTGTCAATTCACCACCTAATTTACATTTCTCCCCATTTTTGTTCTGCTTTGGTCATAACTCCCAAATCCACCCTGCAAGGACAATACCATCTCTTCCAACTTACAGTGGCCTGATTCTTCTTTGTTGCTGGGTCAAAATCCTAGAACTCCCACTCTAATTATACGGTGGAGTCATGTCACCATGGACTGTAGTGTGTCAGCAAGATGTCTCATTACCACCTACTTGAGAACACAGTCTTGGGCAAGATATGATGGTGTTACCAGCTATGCCAACATTCTATTAATTAATTTTTAAGAATTACTTGACAAAATTCAAAATTACAACCACTGTTTCTGTCTGTGTTCCTGGAAGCGTGCTCCTGTCCACTCAGTCCCATTCAGTACCAGTTTCCAACTTGTTCAAAGTACACAAGGGACCGTGGCAACAGAACAATCTATTACTGATTTTATAGGGTCAGAAATTACAGTCTAATCCACCAGATCTGGATCTAAGCTGGTACTAGCTGTATTGCCCTTCATATCAATTCTACCTTACCCCAATTGCTATAATGCTGTCTTTTCCCTCAAGTGTTTATCTAATTAATTCTTGAAACTGCTGACTGACTGACAATTTCAATAATTGCTTGTGGCAAAGCGTTCTGTATTCTTGTAACCCAGACTAAAGGGCAGCTGAAAGTATTAACATTGGGAGGAAGCCAGATGTTGCCCTGAGTGCCTCTCAGATTCTTAAGATGCGCCAAAGTTTATTACAAACGATGAATCCCATTCGGAGTATACAAAGAATTGTTATGTGGGTAGCCAATGTGCAGACAGTAAAATTCAACAGCCAGATGACAAAATATCTGGTGATTATGAGATTGTAGTAAGTAAATGTTGATCTCTTTATCACAGGGAATAATTGGATTAGATTTTTTTTTAATAGATCATAGAATCCCTACAGTGTGGGAACAGGCCCTTTGGCCCAACAAGTCCACACCAACCCTCAGAGCATCCCACCCACACCCATCACCCTATACCCCACCTAATCTACACATTCCTGAACACTATGGACAGTTTAGCATGGCCAATCCACCTAGCCTGCACATCTTTGGACTGTAGGAGGAAACCGGAGCACCCGGAGGAAACCCACGCAGACACGGGGAGAATGTGCAAACTCCACACAGACGGTCGCCCGAAGGTGGAATTGAACCTGGGTCCCTGTTGCTGTGAGGCAGCAGTGCTAAGCGGTGAGCCACTATGCCGCTAGCTTAGTAATCTTGGAAAGTTTGGTTAGATACCATACTATTAACTGGTTTCCCAAAGAAACAAGTGCAGTAAGTTCATCTCAGTTGTGTTTGTGATAACTTGCTGTACACATTTTGAATAATATGTTTCTTACATTATAAAACTTCAAATGTACTTTATTGGCTGTAAAGCATTTGGGATATCTTGAAATAGATTATTGAAATATACGACAGAAATATATATTTGTTTCTTCCTTGATGTAATTAATTTCTACCTCTTGCTTCTTCTCTCTGCCCTACTCGTTCCCACCCTCCCTCATGTGCCTCCTCCCCTTCCATCCCATCATACTTGAACCCACTCTTTCTCTTTCCTTCCCATGTGTCCACTTCTGCTCTGTCTGTCTCCTATCTCTCTCGCCCTTAGCGGCTGAGGCCCATCTGGATAAGGAGATATATTGCAGGGCCCGTCACGTCATCAGTGAAATCAAACGCACGACTGATGCAGCTGGAGCTTTGAAATCCAGGGATTACCAAGAATTTGGGAAGCTGATGGTGCAGAGCCACAATTCACTGAGGTACAAAGGAATATGGGGCAGAGAGAGGGGAGTGGAGAGTGAGATGATGCTCTGATAATATTTTATTTCCTCTATGGTCGAGACTGATTATATGGCGACAGACGTGTTCCCAACAGTGCTGGGCGTACCCTATGTACATATGTAGATATTGTGCAGGCATCTCCTGTACAGGTAGCCCAGTGTGGTATAGTGACAGACTTGTACCCACTGGTACCATAGCCCAGTGTGGTATAGTGACAGACCTGTACCCACTGGTACATATGTCCCATTCAGTATGTGGCACTTTCAAGGTCAAATGTTCTCTTTCATTATTGGAAGGAGTTTCGAAATCTGGAACCTATAGTTTTATGGCTGTGTTGTTTTCACACCCAAGTGATCATGGTGTGAGAATTACATGGCATTTTGTCAGTGACCACACTCTGCATGTCCAATGCTGCAAGTATTCTGAGTGCCAATCTCAGCCCAGTGTAGGTCTCGCATCAGGTAGTGTGATGTTGGTTTCATAATGCAGCCTCACAACCTGTGTCCAATACAACACTGTTGAGTGGTAAAGTCTGATATTCAGAAATGATGGGTGTAGTTTGTGACATTTCCGATGAAATGTTTCCATATGTCTGACCTCACCACCTTATCAGCAATTGTATCCTAGACAAATGTGAGAGCTTGATGTAAATCACACTTGAATTCCACATTTGATCCCAGTGAGTCTGCAATGGCTCCTTTTAGCCAGACTGAACAAGCTGTGTGAGCTATACAGTAGACCTTGGCATTCCTGGGTTGGTGAGGAAAAATGAGAGATGTTCTGTGCTCCTAATCGCTATTTGGCATACCACTGAATGAGCTATACTTGTGTGTATTGTGAGTTTCCACAGTCACACTCTAAGGATGGTACTAGCACCTGATGTCCAAGCATAGATGCCAAGGACAGGGAATTGGGTAAGTTACTACAAAGTTGATACTTTCAGGATGGAAAATGAAGAAGATTGGAATTAACCGGCAAAGTTCCCACCTCTCTCACTTTCTTCTGTTTGATAGAGGTGATTATGAGGTCAGTTGCCCGGAGTTGGATGAGCTGGTTGCTGCAGCAGTGGATGGTCAGGGGGTCTACGGCAGTCGAATGACTGGAGGTGGTTTTGGTGGCTGTACAGTTACATTATTGGACTCCGCAGCTGTGGAAAAAACCATCCAGCGGATAAAGGTAATGCTTAAAAAGCAAAGACACAAGATCAATTTGACCTCTGGTTGGGATCAGACTGCAGTTTGTGCTGTGGGTTAAGGGCAGACTTCAACTTATTCTCTGGGCTAGGGGCGGACTGCAGTTAACCCTCTGGGTTAGGGGCGGACTGCAGTTAATCCTCTGGGCTAGGGGCG